TAAACTGATAAGTTTTCCCAGCCACTTCCTGGGTCTGAGTATTTAGCTGCTTTATCCATTGAAAGAAAGGATATTTTAGAGGGGTTTGATGGCTGGTTGCAAAAGGGGTGTCTATTCCACACTGGCTTCACTGGATCTGCTTGCTGATGGGAAGTCTTTCCTCTTCCCTCTTGTTCTTTTAATTGGGAAGAATAAAGAGAATGGAGAACATGGTGCCATTTTTGGAGAAGCCAGTGAACGGCAGGACTAGGCACAATCAGGTAGTCTGATGCTGCAGGGGAGAGAGTATCTGAAACCCTGCCTCCCGTGCAGCTGGCTTAAGGAATATTACCAAAAGCAAACTTGAACATAAGACACTTCACAGTGGCAGAAGATTTCCTGGCTCAGGGCTGCTTTTCCAGACATGGACTGACAGTCCATATCACTGCACAGAGGTTTAGGGCACCTTGCATTTTTTTTCCAAAGTTGTCTATGTTTTATTCCATTCTAAAACACATCACTTTTTTACATGCATGCTCTATGCTCCTTCTGCAGACACTTAGAGAATGGAAATATGACATTATATCCCCACCTGTATGGGTGCTCAGGTTTTTGTTGTTGTTTTGTTGGGGTTTTTTTTATGCTGGTCCTTGGGCTTGAACTCTGGGCCTAGGCTCTGTCCCTGAGTCTCTTTGTGCTCAAGGCTCTCTACCACTTGAGCCACAGCACTACTTTTTCTGAGTAGTTTATTGGAGATAAAGAGTCTCATGGACTCTTGAAGCCAGCCTGAGCTGGCTTCAGACTACGATCCTCAGATACTCAGCCTTCTGAGTAGGTAAGATTATCAGCTTGAGCTCTTGATGCCTAGCAAGTGCTCAGGGTTTTTTGTTTGTTTGTTTGTTTTGTTGTTTTGGTTTTTTGCCAGTCCTGGGGCTTGAACTCAGGGCCTGGGCTCTGACCCCGAGCTTCTTTTGTTCAAAGCTAGCACTCTACAACTTGAGCCACAGCACCATTTCTGATTTTTTTCTGTTTATGTGGTACTAAGGAATCGAACCCAGGGCCTCATGCATGCTAGGCAAGCACTCTATCACTAAGACACATCCTAGCACAAATGCTCAGGTTTTGATGAGTGGAATGTATTGCTGGATAGACAGAAACACCCTTGATCCAAGGTTCTGCTCCTAGTCTCATTTCTTAACTCCTGAACCAGATGTAAATGCCCTTTAATTTGTTTGTTTGTTTATTTAAATGCCTATTCTGGGGGCACTGTCCCTTCACTTTTTTGCTTAAGGCTAGCTCTCTACCCTTGAGCCACAGCTTCACGTGTGGCTTTTTTGGTAGTAAATTGGAACTAAGAGTCTCTGCCCTGGCAGGCTTCCTCACATACTAGCCTCTTGTAGCTAGGATTACAGGCGTGAGCCACCAGCACCTGGCAGCCTTCTCCATGTTTTAAGTTTTGGTTTGACAGTTCTATATTTACAAAAGACTAAAGAAGAAATGAGGGGCTCTATTTGGAACTGGTTAGAAAGGCTTCCAAAACCACTGAGGTGGCTTTCCCCACCTCTGAAGCTATAGATTTTACCTTGTAACTAAAGGTGTAGTTTAAAAATGTTTCTGAGGTAGTCCTGGCCCTTCATCATTTTCCTTAGTGACCTCAAATGGGGAAAAATTCTTGAAACTTCTATAACGTTGAACTGAAGCCGATCTTTTTACAAATAACAAGCTGAAGCCCAGAGAGGTCTAGTCATTTGCTCAAGGTTGCACAGCTAATTGGACAGAGCCTGAATTCCCATCACCTGGCTACTAGTAGTTAGACTTGCAGTGCCTCCTGAGGCCCAGGAAATCTCATGAAAACTACGTTCTTCTCTCTCTCCCTCCTCTCATCCCTCCTTCCCTCTCTCCCTTCTTTCTTTCCATCCTACCTTCTTTCCCACAACGTGCATGCAGAACGCACTATGACTCAGGCAGTGTGCTGGACCCACTAGTGATTTTTGGAGAAAAAAAAAAGAACGTTTTGTCCTGCAGAAGCTTTTTTTTGTTTGAGTTTTGCCCAAGATACCCTCAAGTTTCCACAGCTTAGCACGCGGGTCCCTGTGGTCAGCACAATTTGGCATTCGTGGAGACCCGTGAGCCCTCTGGCTTTGGGCTTCTGAGTCCTGGTGGGCGGCGGTGCTCCAGCCCCCACCCTCCTACCCCACCCTCCTACCCCACCCTCCTACCGTGGAGCTGCTTGCCGCTGTAACCAGCGAACCAATCATGCCAGAAAGTCATCACGATGATTTCAGAACTGCATTGTGAATTATGCAAAGCGCGCGGGATAATTACAGCCGGGCGCTCAGCACACAGGACGCATATGTTTGCTGGTGTGTGTGTGAACGTGTTGTGCCTTTTGCCAGGGCTGGGTGTGTGTGTGTGTGTGTGTGTGTGTGTGTGTGGTGGGCTCTTCAACACCCAGCTTGATTAGGGACTGGTGTGGGAGAAAGAGAATATTCCATTTCGATCTTGAGTATTTTCCCTAAGTTTTAGTGCCTACCCAGGAGCCCGGCTGGCACAAGGAAAGGGGCAATCTGGAGCCCAGGGAGAGCCACCGCCCTACCCCCCTTGGCCCTCCACCTGCCAAGTAGCTTCTAGATCTCCAACTTGCCCAACACCCTGAAACTACCCCCTGCACCCCACGGGCCGGGCTCTTGGTCCCACCACCACAGCCCTTATCTTGGCCCTCGTCAAATTAGTTCGAATCCTGAAGTTCTTTGTCCTTAACCAAGCGCCCCCTTGGGCCGGCTCCGCTTCGTGGCGGCGGTGGCGGTGGCGGTGGCGGTGGTGACGACCACTCCAGCAGCCAGTGGATTTGTGGCGCGAGTAAAAACCGGGTGATCCCAAAACCAAACCCGGCATCTCGTTTCTCAATCGCTCACCCCAAATCCCTTCTTTCTCTGGGCTCGGAGTTCGAGTTTGTGTTCCGGACAGCCCAGCTTGAACTGTCATGGAAACAATTCCCTTCGGCTTCTGTCTGTCCTCAATGTCCACAATGTCCTCAACGTATCCCGAAGTGAACAAAACAATTGTGAAGGAGAGGAGACTTGGGAAATAGTTCTCCTTCTCTGTTTCCCCGTGACCGCAAACCCTGCGCCTTGCTGGCCGCGCCGCCCCGGGGAGGACACAGGTTCGAGGCCTGGGGCTGCGCCTCCGGCCCGGCGGGTGGCGGAAAGTTGCGGTCACTTGCTGTGACCGCGGGGACCCGAGCGCACGGCCGGCTCCCTCCGGTTCGCGGGTCCGGGAGACGCCACCACTCACTTCCACGCACACAATCCCGATTCGGAAGCCCCAGGAGACGCAGCGCCTGCGGGGAGAGCTGGGGGCCCCCGGGCTGGGCAGCCACGCCCGGCGCAAGGCACCGCGCCCCTCTCCCAGCTCTCGCCCGGGACGGGAGACACGACCTCTGACCTCTGGCCGAGCCCACGGCCCCCCACCCTAACCCCATCCCGCCACCGCGGGAGAAGAAGCTGGCAAACTCGGGTTCGGCAAGTTCAAGCTGCCCCGAGAGCTTCAACAGAATTACTCTCGTAGCGATCGGAAATCAGCGCTCCCTCGGCGCGCGCTCTCCCCGCCTGCACCGCGCCCGAGAGCCGGGGAACCGCGGCCGGGCGCGCCGGCTGGGGTGGGAGGTTGGGGAAGCTTTCTGGAATCTCTGCGCCCTGAGCGGGGCAGCCAGCTATGCCCGATGCGGGGGGGGGGACGGGGGAGAGGGGGCAAGACCAGCCGAGGGAGGGGAAGCCTGCCTTTTCAGGCGCCCCAGTGCCCCTAATGAAGGAAAGAGGAGCTTTGCCCAGCTCTATGTGGGCCGAGTTTGCACGGAAGAAACTGGCACCGCCCTCCTTGGGGCTGGTACCCAATCCCCGCACCCCACGCGAAGGCCGAAGGGACGCGGAGAGCCCCCCTCCTCCCGAAGACCCCATTCCCAGGCCCCCAAGTCTGCTCACAGTACCCTCAGCTCCGACTTTCCATAGAGAGATGCAAAAGGAATAAATGACTTACCTCGGGCCAGATCCAAGTTTTACCCAACAGAAGGGGCACGGGACCAACAATGAACCAACTCACATCAAACACAGCCACACAATTTCTTCCACGGAATCTATCTGGCACTCTGGAGAGAGCGGGTGGGGGGTGGGGGAAGCGGGTTTTTTGCTGTGTTTTGTTTTTTGCTTTTTTTTTTTTTTTTTTTTTGAGAAAACCCCATCACCCCTCCCCTTCTCCCTTGCCAAGAAATAGAATTTTAAAAAAAATTCATTTTTATTACAAGAGCAGCGCCGTCCTCCCCGGCACGCACGCACGCACGGAGCCGCACTCGCATTTGCACACTCGAACTCCGCAGCTCGGCGAGCGCCTGCATTTTCTTTGGGAGCCGCTGGGAGGTTCATTAATATCATTAGCATTTAACCCCCTCCCTCTTCCCATCCCCGCCTCGCACATGGCTGACGTCAGACCCCGCCAGGAGTTGGGGGAAAAGCTAAGTGGGCCAGGGACGCCCTATTCCCCTCCCCGCCGCTGCCTGTCAGAGCGCTTCTGGAGATATTACAGGGGACCCAGCCCGCAGCGACAGGCACAAAGTCAGTCCCAGGGTAATGAACTTCGGGGGCCCTTTGGCGCTGCGCGCGCGGCTCTCCCCGGAAACCCGGACGCGGCTGCCTTTTCCCTCGGAAGATTTCCCAGCGATCTAGTCCCCCCCCCCCCCCCCCCTCGGCGCTCTAGGTTCTGACTGCACGGGGCCCATCCGCCTCCGACACTGCAGTTGTTTTTTGTGTTTTGGTGGGGTTCCCCCCGCCCTGTCTTTCGTTAGAAGACCGGCGCTCGGTGGAGAGCTGCCCCCTCTCCGCATGCCTACGTAGAGGGGGAGACTCGAGCCCGAGTGACAGGAATGGGGAAGGAGGGAGATTCTGCCCTGTTTTCTTCCTAGGAAGACCACTCTCGCGTCTCTGTCCTTCAATAGCCCCCCCTCCCCCAGGCTGGCCTCCTTTCTTCAGTCTGTCTGTCCAAGCGTGTGTCCCTCCCGAGCAGCGCTCCCCGCAGCTGCAGTTTTGCAAGAGCCGGGAAAGAAACTTAAGGATGCTTACACTGCGAGCGTGGAACGGATTCTGAAGGCCTGGAGAGAGCAGCGCGCGACCCGATCCCCACCTGTCCCGCCTGGGAGCCTCGCAGGCTGGAGGGAGGCTGGAGAGCGGCGGCGCCCGGCAGCGAGGCGGGCGCTGCCGGCCGGGACTCGGGCAGTGCCCACCAACCCCTCCGCCCCGGGACCGCCAGCATGAGCAAGCCAGCCGGATCAACAAGTGGGTACCTCTCGGGCCGCCGCGGGGGGCCCAGGCGCGCAGCCCGGGGGAGGGCGGGCGGGGAGGCCCGGGGCGGTCCTGCCCGGAGCGCTGCGGCTCCCACCGGGAGACTCCAGCGGTCGTGGGCCCTTTGGCCCAGCTTCTCGTAGACCGTGAGCTGGAGCGTTTCGCGGGAAGGGGAGAGCAATTTCGTTGCTTCTGGATTGCTCCCTTCTCTCTGGTGCGGTGGGAAGGCTGCGACTCACGCAGCCCACTAGCCAGTCCAATGAGTGGTTCCCATGTAGCCGCCAGGTGCAGCGGCGGGGAGAGGGACACGCGGGGCGGGGGTGGCGGGGGGACCGGCCACCGCTCCCGGCCGCAGCACAGTAACACTCTCGCTCCAAACTCCGAGCTCCTGCGCGCAAAAGCAACTCTGTGCAAAGCGGATTTTGAATGGAATGCTTTACACCCCGTTTCTTGCTATTTCGAATAATCCTGCAAACTGGGAAGCAGAGACCATGTAAAAGTCACATTTTCCTTTAATCCTAAATCCGCGCAGGTCATAACTGGGGAATTTTAAGTATGGCGAACCACTCGAGCAAAGGGAGGACCAAAGCTCTAATCCCAGGACTTTTTGAGCGGGAGCTCAGCACCCGCCGCGGTGCGCGGCCTGCCTCCCTACCGACGCGTCTCCCTTTCCCGCAACTTCTTCAGCCGCTGGCGGAGGCATGCCAAGCCCCGGCTGATCTCCCCCCACCCCCACCCCCGACGCGGGAGCAAAGGGCTACTGGGGTGCGCAAGGGTATTTGCGTGCTCAGTCCCCGCTGGACTGGAGAATTTGCAGGCCCGAGCCGGCGTTCGGAAGGCAAAGCCGCGGGGCTTGGGTCGCCCCCCTGGGGCTTTTCAGTTCCCGCCTTCTAGGGGGAGCCGAAGTCGCGGGGTTTCGGGAAGATGGCTGGGGCGGCCGTGGAACAGGTTCCCGCACACTGCCCCGGGGTGTGGTTTTCCCTTGAAGCATTTTTTGGGGAGCTGATCGGTCCTTTTCGCCCCCGCCCCCGTCCCCAGCCCCCATTGTCCCGCGTCTTTGAAAGTTGGGAGCGTCGCAGATACTTCTGAGGACTGGTAATGAAGTCCCACTGCAGGAGGATGCAGTTCCCGCCCCATCTCCCACCCGCGCTAGAAGTAGTGTGTGTCTTCCTTCTGTCCATTTGGTTTGAGTGCTGCCCGATGAAAAACTGGAGCAAAATGAACGTGAACAAAAAGACGAACAGAACGTCTGGAGCTGGGGCAGGGCGAGCAGAGAAGGAAAGTCCTCGGAGGCGGGAATGCGCGGCCGATCTTGCGGCGTTTCCCGTTAGTCTTGGGCCTACCCTGGCCCTAGCTGTTCCGAGCCCTGGGACCTGGGGCTCGCTTGCTTTGTGTTATCAGAGTCCTGGGGCGAGTGTGCGGCCCAAGAGGCCTTTCCAAGTCTCCACTGCAAAGACCCGCAGGCGGTGGGCCTGGGGTGGGGGAGGTCTGCGGGCCGGCTCGCTCTGAGCCAGACCCTCCTCGCCTCCGTCCTGGAAGTAAAGCGCGTCGGGTTGGGGTGCCCACTTGGGGTGCGAAGACCACCCCCCTCTGGGAGGCTTGAAAGGTGAGGCCTCGGACGCGTGGAAAGGAACAGATGCGAAGCTCGGCTCGTCGGCCTGCGACCTGAGATGCGGGCGGACCCTCGGATGGGGTGGGGACAGAGCAGGCACACTGGGGGGCGGGGGGACTGGAGTGCTTTCCCGCCGCTGCGGAGGCTGCCCGGGCCCGCGGGGCAGCGGCCCCCCGCCCGCAGCGCCGCTGCCCCGGCCTCACCGCACACCCGCGGCGGCAGCTGGCAGAAACCTGCGGCCCTGCGGCCCCCGGCAGCCAGGGGGTCGGCGCGCTACTGGGTAGGTCAGGAACAAGCGGGCAGGGAGGTCTCCCACCTCGTTCCGCTTTGGCCGGCTAGAGGGCAGCGCGATGTCACCCCGAGCCCTGCCTGGGTGGTAATAAGACCCTGGGCAGTCACCCCTGCAGTCCAGACTAACTTCTTTCAACAGCCTCTGATGGTAATTACAGTAATCGAAGCTGCCATATATCTTTAGGCAATTATGACACACAAAAAGCCCCGAAGGGACCCCCTGGCGAGGGAAGTTAAGAACGGTTTCCAGCCTCAGGAAACTCTGGCTGGCCTCACGTCGGAGCTCGCTCTGCTTGTTAAATGAGAGAAGCTTTGCAACAGGGTCAACCAGCTTGTCTCGTGACCCCAAGTCACCTTAACGTGGCTGCGTGGCTGGGTCTGCGGCGCAGACCCGCTATGCGCTGGAATTCTTGCTTCCCTCCCTCTCGTGCCCCGCCCCAGTCCCGTTCCCGGGCTCTAATCTGCCCTGGGAACCCCGGCTCGGAGCTCTGTTTCCATTACCAGGCCGATCGGCGGCGGTGGCAACCCAAGGGGCGACTGTCCCGGGGTCCAGTCCGCGGAGGGTCACCAGCCTCGTACTCATCTTCCTAACACTACCGTTGGGTTCTCCAAAGAGACAAGTCCTTGACCTCCAGTCTGCATGGGGGAGGGGAGACATCCGCCCCTTCTCCCCCGGGGCCACCGGCCAGAGGAGAGCTGGGGTGACAGTGCTGCTGGGCCCTCAACATGGACCCGGTGTGAGCCGAGTGAGTGTGCTCTGCAAAGGAGGATGCTTGCAGAATATGGAAACTTTAGTTTACTGCTTCGAGCGTGAGGGCGGTGGTGCAGTAAAGGAAAGCGACCCTGGCTCCGAGGCGACCAAGAGTTCCTTTAGGCCGGGTGACAGGCCGGAGAAGGTGGACGACCAGACCACTGCGGCCTCGCTCGCTCGGCTCGCTTGCAGACCCTCCCTCCCACTCCCAGCCCAAACTCCCCTCCCACCCTGCGAGAGAGGGGGCACGGAGGAGGTGACCGCAGCGCCCAGCGCCTCCCTCGCCGGCCTTTGTCGTCGTCTGAATTCCCATGCTACTCTTTTTGACGGGTCACTGGTGGCTCTAAAGGCAGGTGCTGTGGCGGGGTTGTAATTACCCCAGCTGAGCCTAGTCCTTCCCGACCCCCCACCCCTGTCCACTCCCCCCACGCTCGCTCTACCCCCAGGCACCTGAGACCAGGATCCAGGCTCAGGCTGCCAGCCCACTCCCATGACTCAGAATCCCAGAGCAGGTTCCCCCCCACCACCACCCCCATGCCTCAGGAATCTACCCAGGCAGTACCCTCACCTTCCCGCCCCCCCTTTCCCAGTCATCCTAGCACCCAACCTTTCTGGACCCCTTTCTAGGCACTCTTGGAGCAGTTGTCTGGAGACCTCCAGGGCCCAGGTTAGAGGCCTGTGGAGAGGAAGCTATGGAAAAAATCAAGTTAATTAATAAGTTAATTACTATAAACTTAAAAAGCTTAAAGTGTTAACACTTCTTAAAATACTCCCTAAGTTCTGCAGATTTCTAAGTTCTTATAAACCACTTCAGGAACTTTTGGACTCTAGAACCTAAGAGAAAAACAATTTCCCCCTTTGCTTATTACCTTCTTTCTAACGTTCATTGAAGGTCCTGGGCACCGCAGGCTTGCAGGATTGCAAGCAAAGTTCTCTCCAGCCAGAGTCCAATGGGGCTAAGGGACACAGTCTAGAGAAATTAGAGTCTATCAAGGAAAAGGAAAAATAATCAGCCTTGACTAGTGATGAAGGGGGGGGGACACTGGAGAAAGACATACACAGGCCCAAGGGGGGGGTGTAGGCCAGTCTTCAGGGAGAAAGGATTTGGGAGGAAGGGAGAGAAGGGGCGATGTCCCACAGTAACCAGTTTGGGGATGCATCAACTTGCAGGCTGTCCACAGGCTTGCCTAGACTCTTGCTACTTTGCAGAGACATTTTGGGAGCAAAAAAAAAAAAAGTTCTCAAAAGCAATCCACCAAACGTTTTTAAAAATAGGTAAAGAGAAAGTTGGGCAATTACCACTACCCTTATTATCATTAATAAACTGAGTATTAGCATCACAATAATAATCCTAATAATAACGACCGCCGGGCAGAGCTGCATGAAAACTCGATTGCCTTCCAGCTGCCGTCCCTGGTTCCAGCCGTGTTTGTTTTTCTTCTTTTCCCTTTTACATTTCAAGTTTGTCTCCTCAAGCGCTCACTAACAACTTTCCTCTGTTAAATGCAAGAGCAGAGGAGGGAGGCGGCCAAAACTTTCCCCCGGAGCAGAAAGGCAACAGCGAGCTATGCTGCCGCCGGGGCCTGCTGTAATCTTTTATTCCAAAATGGGTCTCGGCGATTAGAGGAGACCCAAATACAAGTAGCGGTGCATGAATAATGCTCATTGTAGGAAACTGACACTTGCTCAAGGAAAAAAAGTTTGGCTATAAAATCACTTCATTATTTGCTTTTACCGCAGCTTCGATGCTAATCCCTTCAGAGGTCAGATTGCTTAGCATCCCTCTCTCCCTCTCCCCTTTCCTCCCTCTTCTCCGCCCTCCTCTCCTGGTCGCTCCTTCCCGCCTTCCCCTTCGTTTCTGCGATTTCAGGCCGCATTTTAGATATCCCCTGCAAAGTGTGCGGTGACCGCAGCTCCGGGAAACACTACGGCGTCTACGCTTGCGACGGCTGCTCCGGGTTTTTCAAGCGGAGTATCCGGAGGAACAGGACGTACGTCTGCAAGTCTGGAAACCAGGTACCTTTAGCCTAGAGCTTGGCTGCCGGCTCCCCTCTGCCACCTCTCCCTCCTTTGTGCCAAGGCCTCTTCTAAGTTTCCACTCTGCAGAGGGGAGGCAGACGCTGACCTTTCCCTTCCTCTCCCCTCCTACTGCCTCAACTCTGGAGATTGTTGGGCACTGGGTAGTGGGGCTAAGTTAAGGGACGGACAGATGCACTTACAGAAAGGAAGTCTGAACTCCCACAGCCTTCCCATACCTTATTATTTCTTTAAACCCCTATTAGATATTGACACACTACTGGCTATGAAGCCAGCCCAGGGGGCCTAAAGAACTTCAGAATCTAAACTGCAAGTGGCAAGCAGATGAAAGCCATGTTTTGTTGCCAGCCTGTTACACACACACACACACACACACACACACACACACACACACACATCTGCCAGCACCCAAGCTCAGGCTCCCACAGCCTGGAATGACAGAAAAAGGCACATAGGAATTTGTTTTTAAATTATATTCTTATTCTAAAGCTGATGTGCAGACAGGTTACAGTTGCCTAAGTCTTGTAAAGAGTACATTTCTTTTCGGACAATGTCTCCCCTTCCCGATTTTTCCCTCACACCCCCAGCCACAAGTTGTATATAGTTTATTTTCAACAGTGTCCAGTGAGCACCATTGCTGCATTTTGTTCGATCTTCATCCCTCCATTTCTGTGCCCCCTTGCCCTCCCACACATGGTAATTTGAGCACAATCACTGCCACCTTTAGCTAACTTCAGAGGTGCTAGTTCACACTCTTTGGGCTCCTGGGAAGCAGGGCTGCTCTAGAACTGAGTGATAAGAGCTTTAGAACTCTTGGAACTTCTTCTGGGATTTGTTGGGAAAAGGCAGGGTGGTTAAGAAAAGAAGACTCAGAGAAAAGTGTAGTTGGCATCCTTCCAGGTTCCTGTATCCTCTTCCATCTTCAGAGAGAGAGAGAGAGGTGCCTGGTTGGTTGTGCTTTGGTCCAAAGCAGGCAGAGCTAGCTTTTTGTTTTTCCCCTGGGGCTTGAGCTCAGGACCTAGGCACTGTCCCTAAGTGATTTTGCTCAAGGCTAGTGCTCTTCCACTTGAGCCATAGCTCCACTTCCAGCTTTTGGGTGTTTACTTGGAGATGAGAGTCTCACAGAATTCCTTGCCTGGGACTGGCTTTAAACTGTGATCCTCATAGCTCAGTCTTCTGAGTAGCTAGGATTGCTGGGGTGAGCCACCAACACTGGGCTACAGAACTACCTTAAAGAAGCCAGACACTCAGGATATGAACTGAGTGTGAAACTAAGCTTCCCCATAGAATAAGCAGGATTCCTTGACTGACTCAGTTTCCTGCTCTGCAGTGGATTCATTTCAACCTAGGAGATCAACTTTCTAGTGCCATACTTTTCTCTCTCCTCTGCAAGGCACACAGACTTCAGCACAAGAGGCCTCTGCCTTCACTTCTAAGAATTGCCCTTTGTAACCGAATTGTAAAAAAGCTTCCATTAATTAATGTTTATAATGCATGCTAACAGACACACAGACAGTCTGACACTAGAGATTTGACTCCTTTTCTGAAGGCATGCCTGCTCACTTCCATTTCTGACAGATTTGGATTGGTGGCAAAAATGAGAAGACATTTGCATTTGGATAAGTTATTTTAAACTCTCAGCCCTATTACCTGTTTAATTGGACACTCAGATCTGTATCCGTGTCTAGCTTCTCCCCAGGGATGCATCACATTATACACTCACATAGGACTGTATCCCAAGAGCTCCATAGGGCTACAATTACTGTTGGGTGTCAGATTCAAACTGTCCTCTACTTAGGTTATCTTTCACTTGTATCTAGATGTTATCTCTGATATTATGCTTGGAATTTTAAAAGCAAATGGCTATCAATTTAAACACATTGATATCAATCCAAGAGTTTGGAAAGGAGTGATAATAGGCTCATCAGGTCCCATGTTTCTCTTCTTGCAAAGAGAATAAAGGGGCCAAGCTGAGAAGCTCATTCTTCCTGCTCTCAGGCGACAGATATTTATATACATTTGGTCTGATTTGAAGACATACTTAAGAACTAATGAAGGCTTCCATTTTGCAATTGCATGTTTAGCAGAATACTGGGAAGATGGTGTTGCAGTGGGACATTTGATCGCATTTTATAACAAGTTCTTTAAGCCTCTTTCACATTGAGGTATTTACATTGGCCTGAAGAATTTCTTAGGAACTAAAATTATTTATGTCCTTCCTTTTCTAACACTAGTTAAGCACTATTTCAATTTATTACTAACAGTAATGCAGGCATTTAGAAATTGTTTTAACATCTGTTACACCTTGATTTTCAATAAGTTTTTTTTAGCTTTTTTTTTTTTGTACTAAGGATTGAACATAGGATCTTGTGTCTAAGAAGGGAGGCCAGCCACATAAAAGTACATTCTAGAGAATTTTTTCCTAAAAATATTTCAGGGGAAATGTACTCATTGTAATTTCAGAGTATATGAAAATTTGAGATTGCAAAGCAAATTAAAATACGTAGTATTGGCCACAGCATAGGTGGCTCATGCCTCTTAGCTACTCAGGAGGCTGAGGTCTTTTGAAGTGAATTTGGGCAGAAAAGACTCTTCAATTAACCACCAAAAGCCATAAGTGGAGCTGTGGTTCAAGTGATAGAGCACTAGCAAAATCACTCAGGGAAAGTGCTAAGGCTCAGAGTTCAAATCTTAGGACACACACACACATACACACAATTACATGCATTTTATTATTTTAATTATTCTTTACAAATATAATAGTGGCAATTTATAGAAAGATGAGAGAGGGGCTGGGATGTAGTTCAATGGCAAATGCTTGACTAGCAACTGTGACATCCTAGATTCGACACCCCCCCCCCCCCGCCAGCTACAGAAAAGACAAAAAAAAAAGTTAAAAAAAGAAATATAAGAGAGTATCAAACTTCTTAGATATATTCTCTGTGTTAGGGATGTTCAGTGGTAGAGTAGTTATAGCAAGTGTCCTGGATTCAATCCTGGTACTATAAAAAATTTAAAAAATCAAACAAACATATGTATATAGGACTCTTTATGTATCTATATGTTTTTTCAGGAACAAAACGTAACACTGGATAAATTCTGAAAGAAACTTTGTTAAGTTTCTCCTTTATGATCAAAATTTTTTTCCTAGAAAATTGTTTTATGTAAGGATTTTACTTTTTCCTATCATACAAATATTTCTAAAGTAGTGACTACCTTTTTTTAATCACTTAATCTGATGATTTGCAATCTGCACTTTCACTCTACCAATCAGCCTATCATATTATTTTTCTAGACATATTTACACAATGACCATTTCTAGAATTTTCTCTAGGCCTGGAACTATTCCCTTCACATCTTCACCTTTTATAGACCTTGACTCCCTAGTCATTCTGGTTACTGCCTCATTTTGGGGAAATGGATGTTTCCATAAATCTGGAACCAGGCTCGTCTTTAAAACTTTAGAGTTGTTTCAACATACTGTTTGTAAGCATGATTTTGGGAACCAAAGCAAAAGGGAGATTAGAGAAGAATGAATAGAAGATATTTGCATCAGTAAGTTCATAGGTTGGCAGCAAGAAGTAGATTCAAGACCTGAAAGTGGAAAGAATAATGTTGGGAGAGGGATTCCAGAAACTGGTTTCTCATAGAGCTCAGAGCCCTGTTACTCTCTTCAGTCCTGGAAAGTCTTGTCCAGGTTCCACAATGTCCCTACTGACTGAAGTTCTCCTCTGGGAAATCTGACAAACCAGGCATGCCAAGACTTCACCTGCTAGGAGTTTTTTTTTTTTGTTTTTTTTTTTTCCTTGTCAGATTCCATGGGTAGAAGACTGACCCTCTTGTAGCCTTGGAAATCCCAGCTCCTTCTCTAGCCTTACCAGTGCCCAAGGCTCTCCCTAGTCCAATCTGGTAACTCCAGGGTTTGTTGCCAGGTGAGGGTCCCCAAGCTGATTCTTTCCTCCAGTCACCATTTCTGCTCCTCTTCTAAAGGACCCAGAGGATCTCTGACCAGCTGTGCTCTCTCTCTCTCTCTTTTTTTTCCAGGGAGGCTGCCCGGTAGACAAGACACACAGAAACCAATGCAGGGCATGTCGGCTGAAGAAATGTTTGGAAGTCAACATGAACAAAGATGGTAATCAGCAATCCATTTATTCTTGTGAGGTTGATGGATAAATAAACTATATGCATAGAAAACACATGATACTCCTATGTATATTAGCTATCTCCCAACAGAATACATCTTCCCAGATGCTGGGAATTGACCATATCCTCTCTACATGAGTTCCAGGCTGACCCCCACTGAAGTCTCCAGGACAAGACTGATGCCCACAGTGGAAATTTGCTCCCCTAAATTACTGGCACAAAGGCAGAGGCTGGGGGACTCAGTGTCTCTAGGGACACAGGGAAGATATTTCCTGCCTGATATCTCAATCCCTCTTTTTTTTTCTTTTTTTCTTTTTTTTTTTTTTGTCGGTGAGGGGCTTGAACTCTGGGCCTGGGCGCTGTCCCTCAGCTCTTCAGCTCAAAGCGAGCGCTCTACCACTTGAGCTACAGCGCCACTTCCTCAATCCCTCTTCATGCTTCTCTTTTTAGTTCTTGGTGGCTCTTCTAGAATCTCAGTCTCAAAAGTGTCCCTGGAAGGAGGGAGGGGAAGATGAGAGATTGTGGTGTATTGGTGTAGCTGGCGTGAAGAAATGGGAATACATTGAACTCATTGCAAATTCACAGTTTGGCCATTGGGCTAGTCTGGGTTTTTCCAGTTCCTTCACTCCATTCTACAGAAAACCGAGAAAAGGGCGGGAAAAGGCTGGGTGGCTGACACCCAGGGGCAGGCTCACCACCCAGGTTCAAACACGCTCAAGATCTGAGACTTCAGAATGCTTCCTGGGCATAGGGCACAATCCAAGCTGTGTCCTTGTGTCCTCCTCTGTCATTGTGTCTTGGCAAGAATGTTTCCAGGGCTCAGGTGGGGCTGAGGATCCTGGGCAAGAGGTTTGGAGGGGAGAGATGGAGGTGGACAGCCACCAAGGGCACAGCGCCCCCCCCCCCCAGCCTATCCTGTGCTGAGCAGGAAGCAGGAGAAACCTGTTGAACTTATGTATTGACAAGTTGTCAGCTCTGCAGGCGGAAGATTGCCCTGAATTAATTTGTTTGTTTAAACTGTTGGTGGTAATTGTCACATCTCCTCTGCCTTCCTCCAGCACACCCAAAGATGGGCTCTCTCAGGTCCCCTCCCCCCAGCATCCCCCCCCCGCCCCCCGCCCCGTGTCCGTGGGGCCCTGGAAGCCAAAGCCATGGGGGCCGGCCAGGGGGTGGGGCCAGCCCCTTCTTCAGCAGAGCTGTTAGAGACACCAGCGCAGAGGCTGTGTCAGGCGTGGGTGACACTCCCTTATTTCAGTCCTGGAGGCGAGGACCCCTCGTCACTACTTTTTACAGGATCTTTGGTTTCCCAATGACCTTGGAGCAAGAGGAGCCGGGAGCAGGCCCAGAACACTCTAGGCTGGCCCATTATCGTGACCCTTTGGGGTCTTGGCGCCCTGAATAATCCCCGCGTCCCCACTCCCTCTCTCTTGCGGCCTCTCGGAGCCCCTCGGGTGACCTAGCCAGCCCAGATGTGGCATTAGCGGAGGAGCGCGACAGTGACAGATGTGGCAGCGTCTCTGATCCTGGCCGTGTGTCTGTCTACCTCTGCAGCCGTGCAGCACGAGCGGGGGCCTCGCACGTCCACCATCCGCAAGCAGGTGGCCCTGTACTTCCGCGGACACAAGGAGGAGAACGGAGCGGCCGCGCACTTCCCCTCGGCCGCGCTGCCCGCTCCCGCCTTCTTCACGGCGGTCACACAGCTGGAGCCGCACGGCCTGGAGCTGGCGGCCGTGTCCACCACCCCCGAGCGGCAGACCCTCGTGAGCCTGGCGCAGCCCACGCCCAAGGTCGGTGATCTCGCCAGGAGGCCCCGAGAGACGGGCTGGGCCATGGAAGGAGGAGGATGCGTGCAGATGGGCTAAGCGAAGAGAGGGAGGACTTCCCAGGGGCCAGCCAAAGATGCTCGTACTGGAGAGTACCGCAGACTCGACCTCCGAGAGGCCAAAAAGGGGAGCTCCCAAGCTCATCTCCCAGAAAGTTCTACTCGTGGGTGGTCATGGGTAGATGGGCGGGAACTCTGTTTAAACTCAGAGGGCAACCATGTTCCCGAAGGCCAGAAAAACAGTTGTGTTTTAGAAGACAATCGTTGACACCTGCTGGACGCAGGAACTCCCAGGAGTCCTAAATCCCTGGGATCTTCCATCTTGGGTAAAGCAGTGGAGTCCCAATACAAGGAGAGAGCAATGTGGAGGCGCACTATTAGGACGGTGCGCAGAATCTGATTTCATCTCCCACAAGCTCCTTCCTGGCTTGGGAGCCTGGTGGATTTGCACCAGGATTGAGCCCCTACTAGCAGGGCCACAGTGTGCAACATTCATCTGGGAAGGCTGCCACCTAGGGACTAGCCTCAAGACCTCCAGCTGATTCTTCCCCAGGGCCCCACTCTAGGGGGAAAAAGGGTCCAGGATTTCCTTCTGAGGACCAGCTGCAGCCCCACACTGCAGGGAAGCCAAACACCTGGGCACAGACACCCGCACAATATTTAATATTGCTTTCTTACCCTTGATATGTATAATAAGCTCGGGAAAGTAGTGTTATGAATATGTTGTCAGTTATGAATGGGAATGCTCTGTGAATGATTAAGATGTCTAATTGAAATATTTCCATAATATACTAATCCTTTCTAAAAATACTCATATGCATATTTGTGTTTGGGATGCCTATTAATTTATACTTTTTCACATCTATTTTTATTTACACAAACGCAAGCAGCTCTTGTCTAAATTGGGAGCCAGGCCTGGTACTTGGCTCAGCCCAAGGAAATTTGCTGCAGGGACTAGAAAAGCCAGATACCTCTCAGGAAGTCAGAGGTCCCAACGGATACAGATGGGCCTGCCCTGACATTCAGTATTTCCCAAACTCTAAATAATGCTTGTTCCCTCTCCCCCACCCCCACACACCCAAATTTCTTTGTACCCTTTCCCCTTATTTACTTAGGAAATTGAAAGGCTTTGGCTCCTCTTGCAAAGCTGTGGTTGCCCCATTTTCAGATGTCTGTCCCTCTTTTTTTCTCAGTATCCCCATGAAGTGAATGGGACTCCCATGTATCTCTACGAAGTGGCCACAGAGTCTGTGTGTGAATCAGCTGCCAGGCTTCTGTTTATGAGCATCAAGTGGGCTAAGAGTGTGCCAGCTTTTTCCACACTGTCTTTGCAAGACCAGGTAGGTCCAACGGGACACTGAGGTCCTGGAGGAAGGGGATTAGAAATGAAGCATTAACACTCAGCCTTATAAAACTCATTATTACTAAGATAAATCCAAGGCAGGCATGCATTTTTACAGCAATGAGAAAGCTGTTTATTTTTGCATCTTTCAGTAGCTTCAAAATATCTACCTATGGAGTCATTAGTAAGAAATGCAATTAGAAGGATTGGGACTGGGGGGGGGGGGGAGGGGGGAGGCTGGGAAGGGATGTGAAGGGTAAACAAAGGAGGAGGCTGCAATACTTGGTAAGAAATGTACGCATTATCCTGCCCATGTAATTGTAACCCCTCTGTACAGTATGTTCACAAATAAAATAAAATATTAAAAAAAAAGAAATGCAATTATGTTATTTCAGGAAAGCTGGATCTGGTCTAGGGAAAACGTATTCAAAAGAACATGATCCTCTTTTTTAGTTTAATTGAAACATCAAGTTTAATCTCAAATTTTAAAAAATCTTAATGCTTCTTAAAACTTTGGGTAAATTAGATGTGGTTGTATGGGCCAATAATCCTAGTTACCCAGGAGGTTAAGAAAGGAAAGATCATGGCTCAGGGCTAATCTGAGCAGAAAGGTTTGTGAGACCTTATCTTGAAAGCAAAAGTCAGGACTGGAGGTATGCCTTAAGTGGTTGAATGCCAGCCTAGCAAGCAGGAGGCCCTGAGTTCAAATTACCATCAAAGCAAACAAAAAAGAGAAAAATGTTGATAAAATGATGTTTTCTTTAGAATTTTTAATTAGTATACATTAGTTGTACAAGGGAAATTTCACTGTGCATATGCAATGAATGTATCTCAACCATACTTCAGCCTCTGTCACTCTCCCTTCCTCTCTCCCCATTTTTGAAACAATTTCAACAAGTTTTATTGTTTAGTTCTCTCTCTCCCTCTCTCTCTTATATATATATATATGTATTTATTTATTTATTTATTGCTGGTACTGGGGCTTGAACTCTGGGCCTGAACACTGTCCCTGAGCCTCTTTGTGCTCAAGACTAGCACTCTACCACTTGAGCCACAGTACTACTTCAAGCTTTTTGTGAGTAGTTTATTGGAGATAAGAGTCTCACAGGCTTTCCTGCCAAGGCTGGCTTCCAAATGTGATCCTCAGATCTCAGCCTCCTGAATATCTAGGATTACAGGCATGAGCCACCAGTACCCAATTTATTGTTCTATTTTCATACGTGTAAATAAACTAGTTTGATCATATTTTTCTTCCTTCACCCTCCCCATTAGTCTTTCTTCCTCCCACTGATACCCACCTCTCCCAACAGAGCCTGTTTTACTTTTCTGTCATTTATTTTTAGTGTGATTTAATTATCCCAAGGAATTTCACCATTGTATTTTAGATATGCATGTATTATATTTTAATCAGAATAACCTATTTGCTTTCTCTTTTCCAGTCTCTCAATTTCCCATAGATCAATAGCTTTCATTGAGATTTCTTTTTTGTTGTTGTTTTTGCTGGTCCTGGGGCTCACAGGGCCTGGGCTCTGTCCCTGAGCATCTCTGTGCTCAAGGCTAGCACTCTACCACTTGAAGCATCACGTCTGGCTTTTTCTGAGTAGTTTATTGGAGATAAGAGTCTCATGGACTTTCCTGCCTGGACTGGCTTTGAAGTGCAGTCCCCAGATCTCAGCCTCCTGAGTAGCTATGATTACAGGTGTGAGCCACTGACACGTAGCTCACTAAGATTTCTTGCAGCATCTTCATAGTTGCAATGTATTTCAAAATTTTTCACCCTCCATCTTTCTTCTTTCTTCTTCCTTCTTTCTCATCCCCCTAAACAATGTCATAGTTACAATTATGTTCTGTGAATATAAATTTATGTATATATACATAAATATATATATATATATGGATGGGTGGATGTCCATGTCCACAAATATGTATGTCTTTAAACACAGCTTCCACAAATGAGTGAAACATGATATTTGGCTTTTTAAGTTTGGCTTATCTCACTCAACATGGTTTTCCCCAATTCCAGTCTTTATTTTTTTTCTACAAATGACATGATTTCATTGTTCTTTCTGGTTGTGTAATATTCTATGGTATGTATGTATCATCTACATATATCTGTTGTTTGTCACCTTGGCTGATTTCACTATTTGGCTATTGTGAACAGCACCAGTAAACATGGGCATGGAGGTGTCTTTCTTGTATACTGATTGATACCCCTTCAGATAAATGCCCAATATTAGTATGGTGGGGCCATAAGGTAGGCCTGTTTTTCATTTTTTGAAGAACTGTCATATTGGCTTTCATAATGGTTGCACTAGTTCATCTTCCCCCCAACAGCCTATGAGGGTTCCATTTTCCCTGCATCCTCTCCAACATTTATTGTTTACTTACTGAGATCCTGTCCCCTTCAAAAAACAAATGCCAAACAAAACTGTTGGTAAATGATGTTTGCTTAAGAACATTGGAAGTGAGAGAAACATCCAGCAGTGGGGGTACAATTGGGAATCAAAAATGCTAAGGAGGATGAGGCAGGAAGAACTGAGAACTGAGATCATTAGTCTCTAATGGGATTTTTAGAGCTAATGTCCTAGTGTTACATTCTCAGCTTTACATCCTCCATTGTGACGCTCATAGTTTTGGCCATGGATGTATCTGTATGTAAGGATTGAGATTATACCACACATATACTGTTCTTGATTCATGTTTGTTTTGTTATGGTGCCAGGAATCAAGCTCAAGGCCTCAAATATACTAGGCAAACACTCTACCACCAAGCAACACCCTCAGGTCCATCTTTCTTGATTCTTTAAGTGCTTTTAGAGATTTATAAACAAATAGACATATGTGGCAAATGACCTTCAGAGAGAGGGGAATTATGTGGAGCTAAAACTTGCATCATGGCAGGCGCTGGTGATCATACCTGTAATCCTAGCTGTACAGGAGGCTGAGAACTGAGGATCATGGTTCAAAGCCAGCCTGGGCAGAAGGCTGTGAGACTCTTACCTCTAATAAACCACTCAGAAAACCAGAAGTGGCGCTGTGGCTCAAGTGGTAGAGAGCTAGTCCAGCTGAAGAGCTGAGGGACAGCCTCCAGGCCCAGAGTTCAAGCCCCACGACTGACCAAAAAACCAAAAACCAAAAAACCAAAAAAACCCACACATGTATAGCAATAGACCAAACTCCAGAAATTTTGTTGCCAGAGATATCAGAAATGGCCCTTCCCAGCATTTTTTCTAACATCAAAGGAGAGGAAACAGTATTCTGGTACCAATACATTCCCAGAAATTAATGACAAATTTCTCTAAAAGCTAATAAGCTAATAAGGTTGTGCATTTTTCCCCCTCTGGAGTTGGGGATCAAACCCATGCTAGGCAAGTGCTCTATAAGCATGTTACAGCCCCAGCTTTAATAAGTAGTTCTAAAAACAAAAGATTTGATTTTTTAATTCACGTCTAATTGTAGCATAAAAGTTTTCTTTAATATGAAATACATTTCCTTCAGAAAGACTAGGCAATGTGCTAAAAATAGTCATCTAGAATGAAATATGGCCAGAGTAGACATTGTTTATTTTGCATCTAAAAATATTTCCTATACTTAATACAATAAGCCGAAAAAATAAAGCATTATTAAAATTAAACCTTTTGATCTAATTGCGATTTAAGTTATAAGCCTTCATGATTCTTAGCTCCCCAGGAAAGAAATTCATTGGCATAAATCATCCAGGATTGGCTGATTTTTGAAAGATTTTTTTTTAAAATAAAGATTGCTTTCCAGGCTGTTAGATCTTTGACCAGAGTTACTGGTTGGTTTTATCTTTTGCTCTTTGCATGGGGTGTGTGTGGATGCTTGCGTGTGTGTGCATATGTGCCTGCATGTGTGTAAATTTGTATATTTTTCCCTCAAAACAAGTATTTGTAGACTCTTTAACCCAAATAAAATTCACTTACTGTCTGCCACTTAGCCTTTTGGCAGAAACCTTTGACAATAAGCAAACTACAATGAAGTGGAACCCAGTTTATTAATTTGGCAAAGACAGCTTTTCATTTTAAATATTCAGTAGCACATTTTTATGAGAATGAAAATGACAAGCACCTTGATGCTGTCCACTTATGAGTCTCAGAAAAATCAGTCAGAGAGATGAGGTAAACTCAGCAAAACCCGATTAACATAATTACACCCTGATTTCCCCCGCATGCCTGTTGGGAATTAGTGATCTCTCCTCTCTCCCTGCCCAACCCCCTCAGCCCTCCAGGATGACAGGGACCTAGACCTGCAAAGCTTAGTCAGAAATACTCAACCTGGAAAATATTGGCATTTGATGCCAGAAGAATCCACCTGCTGAGCTGCCAGTGACATTTCATTGCCAGAGAAGTTTCTAGGTGGTCAGACATTGATGGACGCAAAGACCCTTTTTCATGAGGGAAGCAAACTTTCAGGAATTAAAATGGCTGACCCTGAAATACATGTGCAGATCTATAGGCACTTTTAAAAACAAAAAAGAAAGAAAATATGAGAAATAAGGGAAAGCTAGACTTTTCAGAAGAAAAAAAAAGATTCACCAAGACAGGCATTTAAAAAGACTTTAAAATAATGGAAATTTACATATTGAAATTGTTTATAAATTTATAAATTACACACTATATTATATTATACATCTATTGTATGACAGCTGATGCTTTTGGAAGATGCTTGGAGAGAACTGTTTGTTCTAGGAATAGCACAATGGGCCATTCCGGTTGATGCTAACACTCTACTGGCTGTATCTGGTAAGAATTGCACAATTTAATGACTTTGTTGTAGAAATTACCATAAAAATACATTACTGAAAAAAGAACAACATGTAAAGAATAACAAATTCCTGCTGAACAATAGAGTATACCTGTCATTTATAAATCTATATTTAAATGCAAATAATGTTGTTTTGTTGTATTCATGACTGCTTGCATTGTTATTTAAATGCAAATTACTGTGTTTGTTATCATCCAAGAAAAGATTTTGTATTAACTTTCATACAATATAGCCAGTTTACATGGAATCAGATATCTTAGAGTGACAATTGAATAGATACTGATATGCAAGAATTTTTTTGTCAAAAATCAATATTAAATCATGAAAATGTCTTCATATTAGAATATTTATCCCATATTTTTATTCTAGGCATGAATGGTGACAACACAGATTCTCAGAAGCTGAACAAGATCATATCTGAAATACAGGCTTTACAAGAGGTGGTAGCTCGGTTCAGACAGCTCCGATTAGACGCTACTGAATTTGCCTGTCTGAAATGTATTGTCACTTTCAAAGCGGGTAAGCAGACACAAGCCCCCCTCCCACCCCTCACCCCCACCCTTATCTCTTCTTCCTCTCCAGTTTTGCTACTCAAAAAAAGGCGATGTTTTTCAGGAAGTTGGTACTCTCAGGCTAGCTCCATCTTCTCTGGTTGTAAGGACCATGGATGTGGTCCTGGTGGGCACCCACTTCCAGAACCTTCTATTCCCATAGCATTTCTTGTGCTGCCTAACACAGTTTCCTGGCCTTCATTTCTAGTTCCGACACACAGTGGCTCTGAACTGAGAAGCTTCCGGAATGCTGCAGCCATTGCAGCTCTTCAAGATGAGGCTCAGCTAACACTCAACAGCTACATCCATACCAGGTGACCCTTACTTGCCTTGAACATGTACTTAAGAAAATTGCTTCCTTTGTGAAGTTGTAAGCTGGCAGTAAGAGCCAGTTCAAACCTTCGTGACTAATTATCCTGTGGCTAGTTGGTTAATTTCATTAGCATCCAAGTCCTCACCTGTCTCTCAGGGTGAGGGAGGGGAGCAAATCAAATTAGGGGATCACAATGAAAGCATGGCCAGACACTTTACAGCTGTTCTGGCAGAACACGTTGACAAACTAAGACAGTTAAATCATTTGTGTGAATGGAGATAGGGGAGAGTAAAAAATGAGGGCTAAAGTGTTACACTGATATTGTAGAGAGTGGACACATCATCCTTGGAAGAAAAAAAGTGGCTTTCTTCAGATATCAAGTCACAAATAGGACCAGGGAACTTTCCAGAAAGGTCATCTTTATTCCTTTTCATAACTGTTGCAGTTATTTTGAGTCCCCACATATACTAGGTTAGTTATGGCCAAGCAAAATCCTCTATCCTGGGCTATTTGTAGAAACACTCAAACCCTGGCACTCCAGTAAAATCTCTCCTTCGCTCAGCACAGAGCAAGCCCATCAAGAGATGGACCCGCCAGATATTCAGATTCCATTTTCAGATACATAAAGGCTTCTAAAGGCAATAGAACCTTTTTAGTTTCCTAAGTTTGGACTTTGATGGCTCTGAGATTAGAATAGACTTGCTATTCTTGTTCATTCTCTGGATTAATCTTGAGAGGGACCTTTAAAGGCCTGACTGCATCTCAACATTGGCCAAAGACACTGGTGGGAGTAACTGCATCAAATGGATAGAGGTCATTAATGCCTCCCTCCCATAAGGGGTCAGGAAAGTCACAAGTTATCCATATCCATTCACCACTTCTGCTAGGATGTCCTTATTTCCATCCCAAACTCCCTTCTGAATGCTGAATGAATAAAATCTTTTCACTATCCATGGATTATCACTGAAACTATATTAAGTAAATGTGTCTATGTTTGTTTCCAAAATAAATACCACAGTTTGAAATTTTAAGATCCTTGTTGAATTATAAAATAGCAGGCTCTTAATATTTGTGGATGGGCTGGGATGTAGCTCAGTGGCAAAGTGCTTGTCTAGCATGTGCAATGTCTTGGGTTTGATCCCCAGTACCAAAAAAGAAAAGACCAAAAAAAATTACAAAATGAAGCAGTACATAATTTGGGCACTTCCCACCCCCACTAAAAACTGATTTGTACAGCATAATTGACCTTTGATATTTACAGTCACTGAGACACTAAGAATACCAAACTGATAGTAATATGGTATTCTGTTACTGGCCCAGCTAAACCTTTGCTGGTTACTGTCATGCACAGGGCTGCAGGTAGATGTGAAATATCAGAAAGAAAAAATATTTCCTCTTCCTATCATGAAAGTGGGAACAAATGTCACCCCAGTTCAGACCAGTGAGGAGAGAAAAGTAAGGTGAGGAGTGGGAGAGATGGAAGGGGACAAGGAAGATCTAGATGTGTTAATTGATGGAGAAAATGACATGCAAGTGGATCTTCGAATGGTGGAAAGATTTCCCTGGGGAAGCGGTGGAGGACCTGGCCAGAGGTATTTAGTGCCTGGAAGGTAAGCCAAGAAAGTCTGACAGAGGTATTTAGTGCCTGGAAGGTAAGCCAAGAAAGTCTGACAGAGCCTGAAATGCCACACTGCCAATAACGTAATGGGGAGAATTCCACCACAGGTGAACAGCCATCTATTTTAGAGAAGCAGCAAGGAAACCACCCCACTCCCACCTTCAAAACAAGGGGACCATCTGTGGCTGGACCACATTTGCTTTGATATGAATCCTTATTTCATGATGTAAGCTGCAGCTGTTATTTAATATCTAGAGACTTACAGGTGACAAAAACCACTATGCCTTGTTTCTTATCTAGTTCATATCAAGGAACATGCTTGCATCCAGCACTGTCTAGAAAAATAAAATCTGAAATTAAACTGAACAGTTAACATGCAGGTTGAGCTAATTGTTCCAGCTCTATAAGGCATGCTCTTATTGTCCAGGATGAAAGGATAGGCTAGGAACTGTAATTCCACAAAACTCAGTTATAACTGAAAACTGAGTACACAGATCTGCCTCAGATGCAACACAGTTAAAACTGAAAGGAAGTTTCTAGTTATGTATGCTATATGGCTTAAACAATGGCCATAGATATTCTAAAAATAATTTTGAGCACTCTATCAGACACTCACACACACATTGTTATTGTTTGTGGGTGGCACACAAGTAACAGTTATTTTTCCTGACTGACTAACCTGCCTATTTCCTGCTAGACAATAAAAAGAGTGCATGAGTAGATGAGTTGACAAGCTATGCACAGAAACCAAGTGTTCATTGTCAAACTGGGGATGTAGCTCAGCTGCAGATCACTTACTTGCCTGGTATCCACTGCATTCTAGGTTCAGTCCCCAGGATCACCCAAAATAATTTAGCTGTGTATTGAGTCTCCAAAATCCATCCTTCCTGGGTGGAATTATTTCCATCTTGGAGAAATCTTGGGAAATGGGCAAAAGCTGTGGAGATGGTCTAGGCAACCATTCTTACTCTGAAGGGTTTTCTCTCATGTCTAATTCTAGAAAGGGAAACACAGAGCTGACTTGGCACAGGAAGTGGTCAAAGTCAGAGGAAGGTACAAGACTTGGGATTACTTTCTAGGAAACCTGCAGATACATTCAGCCAGAAGAACAAGTGGTAGGATTTGGGTGGTTGTTTTTCTTTAATGTAGATGAGTTTCACCTTTCCATTCACATTGTTATTTCTATTCCACATGGTCTGGTGGCCTGTGCATGGATGATCATGAATGTGGGTGATGTAAGAGCCAAATGAGATGACTAAGGCCCACTGAGGGTCATAAGCCTCATATGTGGTTGGGGAGCAAGGCTCTTATTTGCCCACAGCTAAGAGACAACATGGAGGTTACTTTCTAGGACTTTGTCAGCAGAGTGGGAATTTGGCTTTAAACAGAGCTACCAAACTCTGAGGAATTTTGTTATCTTGGTTTTCAGTACCTATGGCCTGTATTGAGCCTGGCATAGTCATGCATCCATGTCTCAAGAGCTTAGTGCGTTAGATGGCTTGTGTCTGTGAAGGGGGCTGACCTTGTCCAGTGCATTGATAATTTGACTCTCAGCCACTGCCTGCAGAAGCATCAGGGCCACAGAGCTGAGGTGGCTTCCAAAGACAGCAGAACTTGCACATCTGAGTACAGATATATGTTGGACATCAAGAGAGGAAATTGTTAAGCAATTTCTCACATCTTTAATTGTGTGCCAATTTCATTGACATGAAAGTTGGGTGGCACTGCCACCCAACAGAACTTAGTCTTTAATTTGCAATGTAATAAGGGTGGAATTATTCCTGAGAGTGACTAAGTATAATGCCTGAATAATAATTTGGAGAATTGCTTAGAAAAAGAAGCCATTTTATTTGAGGGAAATAGCCTGGTGAGGGAGCATAGAGAATTAGAAAATGTGGATTCTGATATGAGCTTTATCAGCTAGGGTTGTTTGCTACAATGGCAATATTCAGTTAATTATTGTCTACATATTAACATCATTTCTTTAAAAATTGTTCTCTTTTTTTTTCTCTCAATCAAATGCACTCCCTTGTGATTATTTTTTTTTTTTTTTTTGGCCAGTCCTCAGGTTTGAACTCAGGGCCTGGACACTGTTCCTGAGCTTCTTTTGCTCAAGGCTAGCACTCTTACCACTTGAGCCATAGCGTCAGTTCTGGTTTTTTCTGTTTATTCTACTAAGGAATCAAACCCAGGGCTAGACAAGTACTTCACCACTAAGCCACATTCCCAGCCCATCCCTTGTGATTTTTAGCAGTGTCATGTAGGGTCTTTGTGCCTCATGTAGTCTACCTGGGAAAGGGGGACAGCAGTGCTTGTCCAGGACCCTATTGCAGGGGCAGGATGTGATTTAAGAGACCCACCTCAGGATACTATTCTAGAGATAATGTGTGCTCAAGTATAAGAGATGAATTGCTGTTAGTGTTGGGCTCTGACATTGCTTTCATGGCTTCTCACCTTCCAGATATCCCACTCAACCTTGCCGCTTCGGAAAACTCCTGTTGCTTTTGCCAGCTTTACGTTCTATTAGCCCATCCACCATAGAGGAAGTGTTTTTCAAAAAAACCATCGGCAATGTGCCAATCACGAGACTGCTTTCAGATATGTACAAGTCCAGTGATATCTAAGCTCTCCAAGCCCCGCCTCTTCAGGATGGGACAGTGTCAAATGAACTACGGCTTGTGGAGAACAAGCCTCAACTAACAAACCTTTCAGGAAGTGGAAACCTGCAAAAGTGTGGAACCTTCAGGAAAAAAAAATACCAACGGACACAAAACAGCTCCAGTAGCTATGACCTACTGCTCATCCAAGATGGGGCAGCCAGGAAGAAAAGGGGTAACACAGAACTATTGACAAAAACAAAGACAAAAAAATACCATTTCTGCCATGCCCTGGGAGGAGGCCATCTGGGGAGGGTCACCATAGAATGATCTGGACATTCAGCTGAGCTATCAAAAGCTGATAGACATGTCACACTTTTAAATGTTTTCCTGGTTAGCACATACATTTGGTTGACTAACAGCTCTGTGGATAACATCATGTGGCAGCCTTCAGAACTGTGTTACGTTGGAGCATTTATTTAAAAAATAATTGTTAGGTTTTAAATCAAAAGTATTATCAAAAGATTCCCTGCTATTGTCATACATCATGAAGTGGCCTTCAGAACTGAGTTAATAAGTGAAAAGTAGCTCCCATTGTGTGATTTTTTTTTCTTTTTCTGTATCTCCCCTTCCCTTTTTCTTTCATTCTTTCTTCTCCCCCCCCCCCCCTTTTTTTTAGGCCAGGCAAACTTGTCAAAGGAATTGGTGGACAAAACTGAGATTCTCACCAGGACTTCAGGTTGAATAACATCTTAAATACAGCAGAGCTTTACTGAAAGAACACAAGGGAGGGAAATGAGTGAAAACAGCAAAACCAAATACAGTGGAGATGAGAGAGTGAGAGGCAGACTGCTGTCCGCTTGACTAGTGCTGAAACCACAGGCAATGGGGTGCAAGCTACTGGCCAGCATGTCCCCCCACACACACAAACACAGGGCCAAAAGAAACCTCAAGGTCTTGAATGCTAAAAGGTTTCTTGATTGATCCATTGCTCACAGCCTGAGACTCTTCAATCCTTTTCAGAATGCTCTGGTTTCTAGTAAAGCCTTGGATGTGTGTACACACACACACACACACACACACACACACACACACACACACACACACATTGTCCTACACTGTAAGCTGCTCCTTTGATGTGAACCTCTACTTATGGAAACGTAGGAACAAACATTTTTAAATAGCTGCTGTACTTTTCACATTTTGATTTATTAGGTACTAGCACTGAGGAGAAAACAATTCAGCACTTGGACTATCATAGGATGAGTAAAACTTTTCTTGTACAAAGTGAATTAACTGATTTGTGAAGTTAAAAGGTTGTACTCATTGTATTTACAAAGAATAAAAAATATATTGAATTTAAATGAACTCTGCCTGATTTGTCGCCCGCCCTCCCTGGCTGGTTCTCAGTCATCAGATGCAAGGTGGTAGTGGTGGCCACGGCAGCTGGTGTTAAACTGAAACTCCGAGCACTCCAGTGCCGAACTGAAAGAACCAAACTACAAAGGCAATTTCCTTTTTACAGTGAATAGCATTTGTAAAATGATGAATAAAGAAATAAAACATAAAATTCTGCTCTCTCCAGCTCTCAAATGTAATTGCATCTGTTAAAAAAAAAAATTGCTGTGTGAGGAAGAAAGAAGCCGATTAACAGTCTCCATTCTCTGCTCTGCTTTTAACTCTCTTGCCAACATTTCAATCCTGACCAGGAACTAGAAATCATTGAATGATCAAAAGGATAAAGCATGAAGAACCATACTGGTGAGGAAGTTGTGGAACAAGCCATGGAAAGGCCATGAAGATGTTCCCAGCAAATCTCAGGGCACTGGCTGGGTGCTGGTGACTCATGCCTGTAATTTTAGCCACTTGGGAGGCTGAGATCTGAGGATTTCAGTTCAAAGCCAGCCCAGGCAAGAAAGTCCATAAGACTATTATCTCCAATTAATCAACAAAAAGCTGGAAGTAGAGCTGTAGTTCACATGGTAGAGTCCTAGCTTTGAGGAAAGAAAGCTCAGAGACAGTGCCCATGACCTAAGTTCATGCCCCAGGACAAGCATAAAAAATAAAATAAAATCTCAGGGCACTGGCCTCCACTAAAAGAGGCCAGTGGTAGAAATCAGAGGTGCTGGATGCCACAAGAACTGTAGGCTTCTGGTAGTAGCCCCAGCAAGAGTTGCTTGTACCTCTGCTAGTACTGAAATGACCTTACAGATTGTGTGTGTGAAAGTATAACCAGTCAATCATTTGTTTACTGATTTCACAGCGAATGGGAAGTTGGTCTCAAAGAACAGCAAAGTTGGTCTGGGAATGTAGCTTAATGCTAGACTGTTTTCCTAGTGTGCCCAAAGCCCTGGGTTCAATTCCCAGCACCTCCCCACCAAACACACATTCAGCCAGCAAATTACTCAAACATGGATGCAAAGATGTTCTTTGCAACCCTGTTTATGCTTAACAATTTAAATGTCCATCAGCATTTAAGTTGTTGATGGACACAGGTAGATTATAGTAGTTAAAGGGAATGGTTCCCGTCAATATTCCAACATGGGTAAATCTAAAGAACAGTCTTGGGAGAAGGAAGGCCATGGTATTATTTATATAAAGTTAGGTAGCCTACAGATACTAGATATGGTATACAGATGCACAGCAAACGTTTAGATAAACATGTGATGTGCGACTAAACATGAACACGTGCGAGCCGTTGCCTCTGGGAATAGATGAGACTACAGGATGGAGCTAAGAGACGCGCACATATCTCTATAATGGTATATTTTGTAATAAAAATAACAACAAAGAATCTGTTAGATGCTGAAAATGAAAGGATCATGGTTTGAGGCCAATCAAGGCAGAAAAGTTTGAAAGACCCCTTCTATCTATAGCTGGTAGGTGACTGTCCTCCTAGCTTTATGGGTGGCTGAAATCCAGAAGACTGCAGTTCTTGGCCAGTTACTGACAGATATGTCTGGAAGACTCCATCCCAATGGAGGAAGCTGGGCATGGTGATATACTGCTATCATCCTATCTAGGATGTGAAAACTCAAACAGAGCACGATCCAAGCAAGTGCCGAGGTAAGAAACAAGACTATATCTAAAAAATAACCAGTGCTGAGCCAGGCGCTGGTGGCTCACACTTAATCCTAGCTACTGGAAGGCTGAGATCTGAGCATTGAGGTTCAAAGCCAGCCTGGGCAGGAAAGCCCATAAGACTTTTCTCTTCAAGTAACCACCAGAAAACCAGAAGTGGTGCTGTGGCAAAAAGTGGTAGAGTGCTAGCCTTGAGTGAAAAAGCTCAGGGATAGAGCCCAGGCCCTGAGAAAAAAAGAAAGAAAGAAAGAAAGAAAGAAAGGAAGGAAGGAAGGAAGGAAAGAAGGAAGGAAGGAAGGAAGGAAGGAAGAAAGAAAGAAAGAAAGAAAGAAAGAAAGAAAGAAGGGCTGGGAAGGTAGCTCAGTGGTAGAGTGCTTGCCTTGCATGCATGAGGCCCTGGGTTCGATTCCTCAGCACCACATAATCAGAAAAAGCCGGAAGTGGCGCTATGGCTCAAGTGGTGGAGCACTAGCCTTGAGCTGAAGAGCTGAGGGACAGCGCCCAGGCCCAGAGTTTAGGCCCCATGACCCGCAAAAAAAGAAAGGAAGGAAGGAAGGAAGGAAACAAAAAAGTATGAAAAAAGCAAAAAATGTTTGTGGAATTCTACAAAGACTAAAATAAATAAAATATTGTCAAGAGAAAAAAAAGTATGAAAAAAGGTGGAGCTCAATGGTAGAGCACCTGCCTAGAAAAATAAGAGGCCCTGAGTTCAAACTCCAGTATCACCCTGCCCCAAATCTGAAACAGATTAAAGACAAGATTTGATCATGTTCAGGTGATGGGTTCAAGGTTGTTCATTCATGCAGTAGTCAAGTTTAGCTTCAGAGCTGCTGGATAACAACCCCAAAACAACGTCTTTCTTGCTCATAGGACTACTTATGGCTCTTCAGGGCTTGGCTCAGGTCTGGAGTATGAGTTCAGATGTATTCTGGGGTGACCCCCTTGTGCACAGGCAGCTTCTCTTCACACTGTGCACAAGTGCACGAAGCTGAGCCAGAGCACACAAACCCATCCAAAGCTGCTGCTTTCCACTGGCCAAAGTCACACACATGGCCAAACCCAACCTCAAGGGGGCAGAGGAGCCTTCTCCCATGAAGGCTAACTGAGGAGGAATAGAGTCACTGAACCGTCACAAAAACCAGGATAATCATAATCGCCTTTAACCTATCTCAACTATCCTCAGTAAAGTTAAAAGGGAGTAAAATTCCCACACAAGTCACAAAACACTGATTCCAATCAGAATGCCTTTGTTTTGAGCATCTCTGTGGATACAAACAAGGATCAAATCTGGCTCTGAACCTTTTGAAAAGGCCCAGCATTTAAATCCATAGCAACCTCTTTCTGGATTTTGGGAATTTCTCCAAAATGGCATCTCAGGACAAGCTTCTTTGTATATTTCAAGATGTTACTGCTAGCACGAGTTCAAGGCAGACCTTCTCTGCACTGCTGTTACTCAGTGGTCTGAATACTCAGTCAAGATTCACAACTTCATAATATAAACAATCAAGAAAGAACTCATCTAAGAGATTACTGCAGTCAAAAACAAAACAAAACAAAACAACAACAACAAAAACTAGTCCGGTGCAGGTGGCTCACGCCAGTAATCCTAGCTACTCAGGAGGCTGAGATTTGAGGATCACAGTTTAAAGCCAGTCCAGGCAGGAAAGTCTGTGAGACAGAAAGTAGCGCTGTGGCTCAAGCGTCAGAGCACTAACCTTGAGCTGAAGAGCTGAATGATGGCCTCCAGGCCCAGAGTTTCAAGCCCTACAACAACAGAAAGGAAGAAGGAAGGAAGGAAGGAAGGAAGGAAGGAAGGAAGGAAGGAAGGAAGGAAGGAAGGAAGGAAGGAACGCAGGCAGGCAGGCAGGCAGGCAGGCAAGCAAGCAGTAGTGAGGCTGGGAATGTAGCTTGTTGGTAGAGTGCTTGCCTAGCATGTATGAAGCCCTGGGTTTGATTCCTCAGTAACACATACACAGAAAAAGCTGGAAGTGGTGCTATGGCTCAGTGATAGAGTGCTAGCCTTGAATAAAAGAAGCTCAGGGACAGTGCCCAGACCCTGAATTCAAGCCTCAGGACTGGCAAAAAACAAAAACAAAACAGTAGTAGTGCTAGTTGGGCATGGTGGTTCATGCCTGTAAATCACAGCAAAGAAGTCTAAGG